AATCGCGGACTAAGAGCTTCAACTCGTCGGCCACATTTGGCTGAGGTTCTTGGTGGCTTGGCACTGCCTTGTTGAAGTCGTCGTGATCGAAGGGAATTTCATCTTCTTCGTCGTCCATTTGAAGTTGATCTTCGTTGTCGTCGTCGTCAGTGTTATCGTCGACAATATTGTCGAGATTCTGATTATCAGACATATCTGAAAAGCAGAGGTTAGTCGTATTCTTGGTAGACACAAAAGGTGACGGAGACGCAAGATTGTGTGTGTCAATAATGGTAGTTCCGTTTTAGAGGAAATTATGAGAATGGAAGAAAGGGCATGATAGAGAAATGCCGTCGGTCTGTGTTTGAGGAGGGGTTTTGGCTCTTTTATACCGGCGAAGGTGTCACGATTTATATTTCGTTTTTTTTTGAAGAGTTATGATATGTTGGGGGAGGAGCCAACAGAAGTTTCGTGTTACGGTAGCGTAGCTGTTTATTAATCGTATGACACTGATGAATAATTGTAATGTGTTGCGAGTATGCGAATTATTCAATTCATAACAAGGTGTACTGTAATTGATAAGATGCTAAGAAGCATCTATCGGTCATGTAATGAAATTTTCCTTTGTGGAGAGGAGCAACCTCAACTTCGAGTCTGGAAGTATAATAGCAATGTGCTGGAACAAGCTATTTCATGAATTCTTTTATTCGGCGTAGGAACATATAGCTCAATTGATCAAAGGCAAGGCTTGTGATTGGCGGGTTGCGGCTAATGGCCATTTCCTTCGGCTCGTCTGAGCTCTTGTCGAAGTAGTAGCGAGATTGATGCGTATGTCGACGCTTCCAGCTGTGTCAGTCGTGCTTCCAGAGCTTGTTGTTTCTGCTGCAATTTCGTGCGAAATTAAGGTGGTTTCAATCGTTACGGCAATATTTTATGTCATCGTCCAATGTTTTACTTACGATTGTAATAGCTTGTAAATGATGAAGGTGTCCGATTTCATCGTAGATACGGTGGAGGTGCTCTTGTACCGACATCATCGGAGGGATGAGGCGGCATAGGGTGGTTGTCGTTCATATCTAAACTTAAATAGTTAGGTGTGTGTCTTGAAGTGGAATGGTGTTAATGACGAAAGGTTCTACGAGTAGAGATCACGAGATCAGGAAGACCTATAGTAGAAATCGAGAGAATGAAATTAAAGGATTGGAAATCGGATGGTGTATGGGAGTGTGTCTTATATACTTGTCACTCTACGTGACCTTTGTTAGAATTTTGTAGTTTTTCAAGAGTGTGCCTTTTTGCCTGTCTCCGTTTCGACTAGCTCGATTACGGTATGGTTGTGTTTTTGTTTCGATAAGCAGAGGTGGGAAAGTGGCGGAGGTATCAGGTAGCGTCGGATGACTAAGGTGTCTTAATCGTGCAAAAAGGTGTTGAACCACGTGTAGTGTTTGTTACGAACGCAAGTGTTCATGGTAATTCGATTTGAATCTTTGAGGTTTCGTTTTGAATCTTTATTTTTATTAGACATATTGTTTCATTAATTCGGATACAGTCTTCTTCTGTCGTTGCGGCGGGCCGTGGTCCTTGCGCTGTCGATCGTCCATTCGACATGTCGTTCAATTCCTTCAATCGTTAGTCGAAGATGGTTCAGCCGTTGCTTGAGTAGTCGTAAGCGAGCAAGGAGATGTCGCTTTGCTTGTTCTGTCTCGGCTCGTTCCATTCTGGAATGTAGGTTATGATGGGCGTCGTAAGTGTATATATCTCATTAAAAACAACTAATCCAGATAACATTGGGTTTCAATCCCTCTGCTTCATTCATGTTGGATTGTGGCAAGAACCTTTTATTTTTATTTCATCGATAAAAAGGATATGATATTTTTCATTCCCAGCGTTGTTCCTGTTCATAAAACAGTGTCAGTGTTTCGGAGGCCTCTATTTCACATCGAGTAATTCTGTTCTCCAGGTCCATCGTGGTTTCGACTAGTGCTGAAAGTTGTTCCAGGAGCTCTTCTATGCTGTTAAGAATGTGTTCGTACTCGATTCGGGTTAGTGTCACAAATTGGTTGTCCATATCTGAAAAGTGTTTTGGTTTCATTACGAAGGTGAGATTCCAGAATTAGAGCGTAAGATAGGGAGGTAGCTATGTGTAAGGAAACTTATTATGATTGTTGAACATGTGGGTCGACTGGCTTTATATATTCGTGAGTTTAAGTCGGTCTGATATGTTGGACGTTGTTTTTAATCTCGCGCTGAGTCATCTCTGTTCTACTCATTACGGTAATTTCGGAGCTTAGTGCTGTTTTTTCGGGTGGTCGTGTCTTCGTGTTGTCAATTTCAACGTTCGACCTTTTTTGGGCGAAGTCGGCGGCGCGTTTACGCCTTCACCTTCGCACGTCGGCGACGTCGCGACCTCAAACTCAAAAGGTTCGAAAACGCAGTGCACTGAGTCCACATCTACTATTCTAGCCTGATACGACGGTCATTGGTCTGTTTAACGTGCCGTGACGATTGTAGGCTCCTCTATGGTATATTGTAGGTTCACTTCTAAATTTAATTCTCTATGATGTCTTGATTATGTTGATTTTCTAAAGACTTCGTATTTTCGCCTTGTTGGTAGATTGAGGGTGAAAATTCAACGATGTGTGTGCGCAAATTTCGCAGCTTGACTCACTTGGCTAATGTCTTTGTCTCGCTATTGATTCGCTCGTTGTGGACCCGGTAGCAGGTTCGTGGACGCTTCGTCGGTAGTACTTTTATGACACTCATAGAGGACCTTTGTGTTCGCCATTGAGCTCCTGTACGCTGTTTCTACATCACCGTTCTCAGTGCCCAGTGTCAATTATGATTATCAGCTCTCGTTTTATGCCATTTATTGTTAATTCAATGTCGTTCATTCATGTAAAGATGTAGGTCCAATTTCAGGAGCGATATACTGCGGGCATTGGATTGGTTTATTGGGATGGCTAATTACTAATGTTACGCACTTGTGTTTTTTGATTCAGTGGTAGTTTACAAGGTGTTTAATAAATCATTTATTAATTACAAAGCAACTATGACAAACACACAATGGAGAAGAGACAGGAGAGGATAGAAATTGTTATCGTTGTACATTACTACATCTCGTATTGTTGTCCTTAGGTTATGTGTCCGAGTGTAAGTCGTCTTGTCGTCTTAACGAGTGGCGAGTCCGACCGGCATAGAATCGTCGTGTCGTAGTTGTAAAAGGTTAGGGTAGATGGTGTGCGACCGTAATCGCTTGACGAGAGGGGCGGAGCCCCAGAAGGAAGAGAGAAGAGTTGAAAGAGGCTAAACTAAAGGTGACACCGAAGTGGAAGACTGCCTCTGCCGCCCGGAGCGCGCTCTTTATACCTCCCAGAAGAGGGCGGTATATATACCTGTGCTAGTAGGCGGTCCCGGTGGGCATGGCATGACTACGCTCCAAGATTGGCATTAGTTTCGACTCTGTTGAAAGGTTTGTATTGGAGATGGGCCCTTTATTTTTGCAATGTGTGACATTCATGAAGGTCAAAATTATGTATACGAAGTTATACGAAAAAGATTTTTTTGGGTTTTCCTTATTTTTTCGTTTTTTTTCCTTTTTTATTCTTTTTTAAGTGAGGTCATTGAGAAATAAAGAGATCAGTTCATCGTACTTTGTTTAAGGAGAAAAAGGGTGTCCGGACTGAGATCATGGCACAAAGTACGATTGTGGAATGAGATCTTTCGGATGGTTCGATGTCTTGGTGAGTTTGTTGGCTCACTTATTCTACTTCCAATCGATCTTTGGGGGTTAACTGAAGTTTTGGATTACGCTATTTGTAAAGCCGGAAAGCCGTAAAGATTTTGGGTAGTTGTTTTGTCATTAGTCGATTAGTCGTTGCGCTTGTACTTCCCCAGTGGCTACTGCCTTGAACTTATTTGTTGCATTTGATTGATTGTTTCCAGTGTTAAGATCAAGTAGGGTAAGGTTCGTAGCAATTTCGTACGTGTTCCACGGTTTTATGGTTTTGTCTTTGTAGTGCCTCGATTTTGATTCCGTTGCTCAATTTCGACTACTATTGCCAGGTTGTCATGCTCGTATCCTTTGGGTATTGAAGTTGTGTTGTGATGTTCTTCTTGTTATTGTGTTTGTTATACAAGGTCATTCTCGCGTATGTTCGATGTGTGGTTTCGTTTTGTGTGTTATTGTCTGATTTTGTATTTGTTGTTGTAGGTGTTGAAGTTGTAATTTTGGCCGATGCACCATGTTTGATTCAGTGGTAGTTTACAAGGTGTTTAATAAATCATTTATTAATTACAAAGCAACTATGACCAAACACACAATGGAGAAGAGACAGGAGAGGATAGAAATTGTTATCGTTGTACATTACTACATCTCGTATTGTTGTCCTTAGGTTATGTGTCCGAGTGTAAGTCGTCTTGTCGTCTTAACGAGTGGCGAGTCCGACCGGCATAGAATCGTCGTGTCGTAGTTGTAAAAGTTAGGGTAGATGGTGTGCGACCGTAATCGCTTGACGAGAGGGGCGGAGCCCCAGAAGGAAGAGAGAAGAGTTGAAAGAGGTAGGTGTTGAAGAGTGTAATTTTGGCCGATACACCCATGTTTTGAATTCAGTGGTAGTCTTACAGAAGGTGTTTAATAAATCATTTATTAATTACAAAGCAACCAACTCTTGTCGTCTCAACGAGTGGCGAGTCCGACTGGCATAGAATCGTCGTGTCGTAGTTGTAAAAGGTTAGGGTAGATGGTGTGCGACCGTAATCGCTTGACGAGAGGGGCGGAGCCCCAGAAGGAAGAGAGAAGAGTTGAAAGAGGCTAAACTAAAGGTGACACCGAAGTGGAAGACTGCCTCTGCCGCCCGGAGCGCGCTCTTTATACCTCCCAGAAGAGGGCGGTATATATACCTGTGCTAGTAGGCGGTCCGGTGGGCATGGCAATTTGGAATTGGTTGTAGTTTGTACGCGGTAAATTCAAAATGTATATGCCATGTTTCGGCACTTGTTTGTTGTAACAGGGCTTAGCCTTAGGGTATTTAGGTGGACCAGTCTTTATCATGACTGGGAAGTCATGACAATGGTGCGGCACTTGTGGACGGTCTTCGTTGATTTCGTTTTCAGGGTTTAGAAAGGACGTTAGATTGGGATATATTTTATCGATATGTTGGAAAGGGAGATCATACATATTTACTAGAAGATAGTCATCAATCGTATGAGTACTTG